GCCCCTTGCTTCGATGGGCTTTTAGCGAGTAGCAGTGTGGTGGTGGCCTCTGATGAGAGGAGTGAGGGCGGTAGGGCTAGGCCTGACGGGTCGGTTTTGTCTTCGAAACGCTTTCAGGCGGTGACCTGGGGCCTGTGAGGTGGGTGTGTGCGTCTTTTGGCTGGGAAGGGACCCTGAGTGGGGGGCGTGTCCGTTGGCTGGGAAGGGGCCCTTCAGTTGAGGCCTGATGGGTTTTTTTCTCTCACTTTCGCTTAGCAAAAGCAGTCTGATTTTTAATTTTTTAAAATTTATTTTGCAAAGGACTGTTTAGGGGTAAAACTGCATTCAAAATGGGCTAAAAGAACAGCTTTTCGTAGGATTTTTAACAAGCACTGATATACTTTCATCTGCTTTGATGCTTGTTGTGGAAAAGAAATAATGATTTCTTTGCCCGACTTTCGAACAGCCTTAGGTTTATACTATTTCTATTAAATTCCGTGTTGAAGATCATAATCTTTCCATAATATGCTCCTGATAAAATGCAACGGTTTTGTATTGATTTGGAAGTTACTTGATCACAGAAAAATAATACGAGTAGAGAACTGGAGTAGAAATGAGGGAATAGCGTAGATGAGTGTATGTGCTGGGCAGAGTTGCGAATATGAGTTAATCGGGAAGGTGACGTACTGCTGATATAAACTTAGTTCCACTTTTGCTTCAACTTTTCTGTTTCTTTCATGAAAAAAGTCTTGCTGAAGTAGCTTAAGAAAGTGTAGTGTAAATTAAGGTAACCCACAGATTTTAGCATTTCCTTCAGGTCCATTCTTCTCGTTTGGGGCCGGAGGGGCAGCATAGCTTGAAATTGTAAGGTAGGATAGGAAGCATGAGATAAATAAAAATCCCTCAGTACTTTCTTAGAAGCCCACTGCACCTGAGAGTGAGATTAGTTCTGCCTTTACTAAGTATTTTACAGTTAAGCCCTATGACATAACTATGGTTTCAAATAACCAAAATCTAGATCTAATTTTTTTTTTTTCAGTGCTATGGGATATGCAGCATAGAGCACAAGAGTTCCTTTTAAAACGTATTCATTAAAAATTTTTCTAAATCGTATCCCTTGGTACCTAGGGTTATGTGGATTTTATTGTATACATACAGAAATACACTACAGGAAGAAGAAACTTTAAGTTTATGAGACCACACTGCATAATTGTGCTGATACGACATTCTCTAGCTACATGAAAAATGTTAAAGAACTATTAAAGTTAATTAGGCTGTTATTTTATGGATCATTTCTGGAAACCTATCACTTCCCATGCTAACAAAGTATTTTAAACAACATTAATTCAGTGTGGAAGTGCGTCTTTTTGCCTTCAAAAATACTTTTTTCTTCAAATTCTACTGTAGTCTTATTTTTAGGTTGTTTTTTTGTAAATACCATTCTTTAATAAAGATATCCATTAGTAAGGATCCTTCATAAAAGCAAGAAAGAAAAGGAAATGTTTGTTAAGTGAAATTGAGATAACGTTGTTATTTTGCAGAACAACAGTACTTTGAAGTAGAAAAGCGTCTGGCTCAAAGTCAGGAGAGACTTGTAAATGAGACGCAAGAATGTCAAACTCTCCGTGAGGAGCTTAAAAAACTTCGTAAGTATAACTGTACATTCTTAAGATTGGACAAGATACTTGTTCTTTAGTCCAATGTTATGCTGAAATGCTGTATGTTTTAAATAGGAGTTGAAAATCCATCCATCAACTACGTTTGTTATTTCTGCAAGTAGAGAAATTTTTTGCTTTTGTGTTTATCAGCTTTTTCTTTAACAGAATTTTTGTTCTAATGGAAAAAAAAACTTGCTTTCTGATTTTTGTACTAATAGTAGTACAGTGGGTTATGTGTTGATCTTCACAATAAATGCCGCTGCTCTAAGGATAGCTTTAGTTTGCCACAATACTACCTAGTCAATCCATAGTGAAATCTTGAAATTTTTTTTTTTTTTTTCTCCCCCTTGTTCTTTTATGTTATTAAGGGAAATTTTGGCTTAATTATATTTGGGGAGTGAATGCATCATTTTGTAACAGTGGAGATCCCTCACTATTATTTCTTTTTATCCAACAGATGAACAGTTGAAGTCACTGAATGAGAAAAATAAAGAACTTGAAGCTGCTCAGGATCGTAATGCAGCCATTCAGGTACTAGAAGAACTTGACGATAAGTTGAAAGACTGCTTCACCTGTCTCATTGTGGCAAGGAACGCAGTTAGTTTCCAAACTGGACTGTATCAATGTCAGTACGCATATGTACTGGTGTACATATTTACATGTCCGTATGGCTGTGTGTACAGGAAAATTGTGTGGGGTTTTTAAGTAAATGCTGGTGTTTTAGCAAACTGAGTTACAGCTGAATGTACGTCTGAGCAGATGCTTTTATTTCAGTTCGCCCAGGTTGTTTCATTCTAGCTGAAATGTGTTGTGAAGTGACTTTAAACTGAACCTCAAAAATTGGACAAAGGTGTAAAGAACAGTGCTGGTTTTTTCCCCCATCCTTTCTCACATTCTGGCAGTTTCCTTGCATTATGCTCAAAAGTCGTAGGGTTGCAGGTTGAGTCACTTCAGCTGACTGATGCAACAGAACACTAATTTTGGAGCAGGAAGTGAGAACAATATTATTAGATGGATTTGTCCACAATGAGAAGGAGGATGTGGTTGTTTTCTCCACGAGGCTTACCTGGGCCTAACTGAAGTGGTTTGTATTGACACCTTAGAAGGCAGAGGCAGTACTATAGCTTATAAATGATCCAAGACTATTGACTTTTATTTGATTTTTATATTGATTTTTTTGCATGTGTTCATTTCTTGGTTATTCTGTTACCTCTTTTATTTGACCAAATAAAACTGTTTCAGTGAAGTCTTAACTATCAAAGCTGCCTTTCAAAGTTTATTAAAATTGGATGCAGTTTTGAATGCTTCGTGTTGCTTGTTTTGGATTTCTCTTAGTCCTTCGGTTCATTTCGTCTGCTCCAAGTTCAATGATTCTCGTTTTAATCTTCATTCAAATACAGCTAGAAATAGAGGGAGTCTTGTGGCAGTCTGGACCTCTCTATGCCAACTGAAAAGCAAAGGCAGTATTCAGTATGCTGGTTTTGAAAGCTGTGTGATACTTGTCTCATCTTCGCTGTCTAATTTTATGTGATAGTGGCATTTTGCATTTAAGCACAAAGGGCCAGATGGACATTAGTATCAGTGATTTAAGCGAGGGGGGGGAAATTAATTGAAAAGTGTTGGCTGTC